GAAGGAAGGAAGGAAGGAAGGAAGGAAGGAAGGAAGGAAGGAAGGAAAAAGGATACAACATAGTGAACATCTTTCCATCCAGGTCTACATTTGGCAGAGATGGAAAGATATCACAAAAGCAGAGATGCCCAGCAGGAGCTAAGGTCCAGAAATTACCAGTAGAGGCTGTTAATACCACTGTCCAGCTGATGGGAAGGAAAGTAAGCCTTACACATGGCAGGTGGCTTGCCAGGCCTTTAGCCACAGACTGACACCCTACAACAGGAACGAGGGGATGTCCTGTTTCCTTGGATGCCTAAGGGGCTGACTGCAAAAACAACAACAAAAAGATCAACACTGATACAGCAATTAGCATGAGCTCCCTCCACCTCCCGCTCTAGCATCTATACCCCTGCCCTCTGTGTGCATGTGTATGGGGGAGGGGGTGATTGCTTCCTCTCTTGCCTTTAAAGCTTTTCAAGACAGGGTGAAAAGTGCCAAGAGTAATTCTCTAAATAAAATAGGCAACTCAGTGGCTGTAATAGTTGAGAAAAATAACCCAGGTGCACAGCACAGATGGGGACATTTAATGTGCACAAGCCGCCTTCATTTTCTCTCAAGACAGAGCCTTTCATGAGGCCTGCTTGACATTGTACAAACAGTCAGTGACACTTAGGACCTTTTGCTCTCTTCATAGCCAACACTGCAGTAAATGCTGCATAGGTTCCTTCAACAGTGTCCTCACACTTCAGTTACTGATTGCACGGCTTGGAACAGAAAGTAGCATGTCCAGAGACACGAGGCTGCTGAGGGTATGTGTTGGACTGTGATACGCAACAGTCTGACTCAGGAATGGCCAGCTCAGAAGCACTCACAGGCTCAAAAATAGAACTCCCATTTGTTACTCTGCAGCGTCCATGATGGTGGCGTGACAGGTAAACCCCAGCAGATCAAAAAGGAAACCAGCTCCTTCTGGAACACTGGGGCTACCAAAATGGACACTAAGGATCCTATGACCCCTCTGCTCAAGCCTCCTCATCATTAACTTACTGCTCCAAGCCTCAAAGGATAGCACATAGCTCCTTAGAAGTCTTCAGCGGTCCTAGGGTAAAGGCGGAGACAATAAGTAGAGACATCCCTCATGCATGGACAGAGAGTAGCCATTACTGAGGAATGAAAGGATGCCACAATATCCTTGTTCAGACAGCCCTGAAAGTACATCTTATTGCAGCCTTTCTATAAAACTAAACACCATTCCTTAAAACCACCGTCTCGGTGAAGCGAAGGCCACACAGGATAGGAAAGGGGAAATGGACAATCACCCTCCTGGCCCCTCTGCCCCAAAACTTATCACACACTCACAGGAATGTTCCTATTGCCCCTGTGCCCAGTGCTTAAGAGAGCCTGTAAATATTTCAAGATGTTTGAGAGATTATTCCCTGCTCTATTTTATCCTAATAACAAGCCGTTCTGGGCTGTCTGCCAGAGGCCCACTATCTTTGTGCAATTCTCTGCGAATCTGAATTTTCTCTACTCCATGGTCACTAAGACAGAAAGTAAACATAAGCAGCTTTGGACAGGCAGACACTAATCTATGACTCTGTGGTTGCATGTCTGAGAAAAGGAAAAGCTGGCCGGCAACTCTGCAGAAGCCAGCAGGAGGACTGGTGTCTGCTAAGAAAAGATGGTTCTGTTCTTATTAGTAGCTTCATCAGGTGCCACCACTCATCCACCAGAAAGGTCTTTCATGCCAAACAAAACAAAACGAGCAAACCCAAAAATGTCTCCATCATTAAGTTAGAGTTTCTGCACGTTGGGTCCCAAAATTCTTATCAACACAGGCAAAGAAAGTTCAACACAAAGGTTTCTTTAAAAAAAAAAAATTTAAATCTGCTAAAATTTCCAGTTTTTTGGTTTTTTTTTTTAAGATTTATTTATTCATTATTTATTCAGCATTCTGCCTGCACGTGTGCCTGCATGCCAGAAGAGGGCACCAGATCTTATCATAGACAGTATGAGCCACCATGTGGTTGCTGGGAATTGAACTCAGGACCTTTGGAAAAACAGCCAGTGCTTTTAATCTCTGAGCCATCTCTCCAGCCCCAGGCTCCAAAGTTTTGATCTAGAAAATAATGTCAATAAGGATTCTCAGAAAGATGGGAGGAAATGAATAATTAATTCAAAAATAAGAGCTGCAGTGAGTAGGAAGTAGCCTAGCAGAGACAGGTTGCCCACAAGTGAGAACAAGACAGACTCCACGTTAAACTTAGCTCATGATGCGGGGCATGGGTGCTCAGGGGATAGAGAGCTGTCCGCCAGCAAGGAGGGGAAGCCAAAGCCGAGGAATGGAGACCAGAGATCCACATACTTGTCTGACACAATCTGCACTTTTCATTCAACCCTGGGCTACCTACCCGATATTTCTTTTCTTGTTCAAATTTTTCTTCAAACTTCCGAATTTTCCTCTTGAGGCTTTGGATGTGCTTAGTGAGCTGTGTGATAGTCTGTGGCTCCTTGCCATCCCCACCACTGCAGCGAGAAGAGCTTCGTGGCCTGCCGTGGTTACAGACAGACAAAGAACGTTTTCAGCAAGGGCTTCAGTGACCACTGCTGCCTGACCTTTGAACCCCATGAGATCAGAGCATTCCAGAGGGCAGCTCCTTATGTGACTTGTCCACCAGGAGTCCCCACTCATCCCTGTGACCTCTGACTACAGCTTTGCATTATGGGCTAATATGCTCAATATCAAATATCAGCATAATGTCAAAATATCAGCACAAGAAATACACATCTCAAAAGAGTAGTAAGGCCAAGTTGGGATTCAGCAGAAGGTCTTTGCAGAGGTGTCCCCTTCAACAGGTGGCACAAGCCACAACTAAATAGCATTTTAAAGAAAGATTTAGATGTATGGTTAACTATCCTGACACAAGAGAGCCTTTTCAAATACGTCAAAAGGAACGGCCTTCTCTCCAAAAAAGTATTTCCACAGACTCAACATGACATACACTTTCCATGCACATAAACTCACTAAGACCCTCGGACCCTTCCACAGAAACCCAGGCCAGGACAACTCAAGAATAGCAGTAAGCTATGAGGGAGAAACTAGGGACACGAAGGCAAATAAGCTAAAAGCAAATACCGCAGAGTTCCTGAAATTTACCCCCATCTAAAATGCAAGGAACCAATGCAGAGTGCAATGTGGACCCTACTTCTAGCACACAGAGACGCTGCTACGTGACCAATGTGGGGGTCATATCTGACACAAAGTGATACTACTATATCTAGCTGCCCAGTTAATAGGTTTTTGTTTTTGTTGTTGTTTTGTTTTGTTTTAGGTACCACTCTTCTAGCTCCCCAACAAGGAGCTGAGGGAAACTTTCTAATCTACACTTCAGCCACATGAGAAGCACCCTGAGCTAGTTAAGAATGACACTTCAGAGGCTTGCACAGACACATGCTTCTCATTCTTCCCCAAAACTTCCAAAACATGTGTCCTGACTCTCATGACCATTTCTTCCCGAGACCTCAAGTCAGCGTAGAAATGGTACTCCCAACTGGAGAGGCACATCTGCCCTGCTTCAGAGCCGAGTTTCACGGTAGGTTATGAAATATCTTTTGAAAACTACGTGACATGAAGATGGTCATCAGAATGGGTTTTCTTACATCATAAACTGCTGGCTGCTGGGTGGAGACGGGGCTGACTCGGGGTCCAAGTTGAAGCGCTGACTTTGGCTGAAGATGGAGCATCGTGGCGACAGCAGCGGATTGTCACCATCGGTGATGTGATAGAGCAGCCTGCTTGTGCCTGCAGACTGGGGGGCTTCCGCTGTACCGTCGGCATCACTCTGTGCATCTTTATGAGCTGGCACAGGGTCTGGGGAAACAAAAAGAGATCCAGACTTAGGAGTGACAGAGGACTTGAAGCTGCCATGTTCCTAAATAAAGATCATAGCGCCAATGAGAACGGCGCGTTTCTGTCCTGTCTCTCTTCTGGAGAAATGAAAAGCTTTCAAAATACTGTCATGTTTGTTCTCATAAAACCTGGATAGATGATATTACGAAGCCACCAACAAAAGCGTCGGAAGACTACACAGAGCGAGTTATTCCAACCAGCGCAGCACAAAGATCCCATTTCACATCATTTGCATAAGGCGGAGGGTACCCTGAAAGGATCTAAGAGTGAACAGGAGTTTGGGTAAATGATACAGATGGTGAGGAGAAGTCCTGTGGCATTATGTGCACACACACACAAATGCACAAGTAAATATAAAAAAAAATCTTAAAACAAGAAGAAAAAAATTAAGGACAGGGATGATGATGACAATGAAGAGATGGATAATGATAGACAGACAGACAGATAATAATGAAAGAGGCTACAAAGTAACTCCAAACAATCTACAGAGTTAGGAATGTCTCTGTTCTACTTTCCAAAAGATTATGTAACACTCTATTTTGAACAACAACAACAAAAAATACGATACAATATCTCCCCTAGCAGGCCAGCTGTGGACCCTGATCTGAATGTGACCTACTCCCCTTTCCCTCTTAAATTAGCTTCCTAGTTCTCACCAGGGCCAGTCTAGATGTCGGTGGCCCCTGTGCTCAGGGGGAGATGAAAGATAGATGTGCCAGCAGAGGATCTGAAGACACTTGAATCTAGCCCCAGACTCGAAGATCTACCTCCCTTTGCCACCCAAGTGCTGGGATTAACGGTGTGTGCCACCACACCCAGCCCAGATTTAATCCAGGTCTTTTGAGGTGGGAAGACACAGTTCTATTCTGTGCCATGCCTTCAGCTGGCAGCCTATATAAAGGGCATGGATGAAGGAAGCGTATTGTCTTTCCCTGTTTGCTCTCAATCTTGTTGGCAAGTTCATTCTTTCACTGCCATTAGAACCTACTTCTTCAGGATTCTGGAGTACAGTGAAGACCAGCTGAGACATCTAGCTTTGTGGACTGAAAAACTATTGGATTCTTGGACCTTCCATTTGTAGACAGCTATTGTTGGACTAGATGGACTGTAGCCTATAAGCCATTCTAATAAATCCTATATGTATGTATGTATGTATGTATGTATGTATGTATATGTATGTATGTATGTGTGGTTGTATGTATGTATGTATGTATATACAATAGTAGATATACTCTATTCTCTAAGTTCTATTCCTCTATAGAGCTAATACTACTGGTAATTTGGTAGAGCCTTAGTTTTTGTCCAAACATACAATTTGAATTGAGAACAGGTTTAATTAAATCAGTTGGCAAGTGTTTTTGTGTGTACACTTGTGTAGACAGATTCTTTGAGCTCTCTGCTCAAAAGAGGCCAAAGCAGACTCAAAACCAGTGCTGCCATCTGGGAACAGAGCTGGCAGCCTTTTCCATTCCCACAGGGAAAAGTACATGGCCACCTTGAACTTGGTGTCTTCTCAAGGATCCTGGGGACATGATGTTTGTTTCTTCTAAAGTAGGGAGCAGCTTGCCAGGACCCATGTTACAGGGCATGACCTGTTACAGTTCAGAGGCGGGGGCTGTGAGCCAAACGTCTGCTAGGTCCATACTGGGTGGGGGGCAGGGGGGCAGGGGTATTGAGCCAGTTTGCTGGCTTGCTTCTGTCTCCTTGAATCAGACACACAGGGCTGTGAAAAGACACAGAGGAGAACTGCTCTACAAGCCATCGACGTGGGACAGCACTAACACACGGCGAAAGCACGGATCTCGTGTTAGGTACTCACGAAACAATACAAGAAATTCTTCTTTATAATGACCAAAATCTCTGTCACAGATGTATCTTAAACGTTGGAAAAAGAAAAGCCACAGGAATATAAATTTTGAGGCGGGGATTCCTAAAAGGTGAAGCGGGAGGTATCGTACCCTGTGAGAACCCGGTCCAGGAATGGGGTCGTGTGAGAAGTCTAAGTGCTTATGAGAGCACTCCAAAAAACAAGACCGGAGTCTAGTGACCTCAGTTTCTTCAAAACACACAATCGTTCTTGGAATCCATTTTTGTGCTCCTCCCAGATATAGCAGGTAAGGGGTGAGTTTACTTCAAATTACTCGCTGCTTGCTATTATTATTCAGTTAGATGTTTAAGCTATCCTTTATACGACTCTGTGGAAAAACACGTTTTTGCCACTTGTGGCTTGTCTACTGCTTGAATGCAGGACAACTTCACTCGTGTGACCTTTCTTAACCTCCAGAGTATAAATTGTCTGAGGCTCTGAGTGAAGTCGGCTATTGCAAGAGACTTCAGTTCGCCTCATTTCTAGGCTCTATTCTCCCAGGCCTCTAGAGCAGTGACATTAGCCTAAGTGCAACAGAGCAGAAATTGTTCGTGTGAAAACCAGATCTTCCACTGGCTAAGAGATATGGACATCAGTGAAGCTTTTAACACTGTGTGTGTGTGTGTGTGTGTGTGTGTGTGTGTGTGTGTGTGTGTGTATGTGCCTGCATGTACTTGCAATGAGTATACCATTGAGGGTCATGTGAGGGTCAGAGACTAATTTTCCAGAGTTGGTTCTCTCATTCCATAATGTGAGTTCTGGGATCAAATTTATGTGGTCAGGCTTAACAACAAGTGCTTTGACCCACTGGCCGCAAGATGAATCTTTTAAAAACTCACTTTCTTCATCTACTGAATGAGGAGAAAAGTGATGCCTTCCTCACAAGACTAGGTGAGGATGAATTAAACAAAGCCGTGTCTTTCTGGACTTTAGCATATCTCTGCAGCCTATTATATATATATATATATATATATATATATAAATTGTATGTGTGTGTCTAGACATGATTGCAAGTTAGTTTTAAATTTTTCAGTTTAAATCAGGAGAATTACGTTAAAGGAGTTGTTAATCTGATTGGCTAGCCACACCTATTAAACTAATCAACATTAAAATAAGTTCATCTTAACCTTCTCAGTGTTGGGCTACAGATGAGCCTGGGATCCAGGCACTTGGCACCAGCATGCAGGAGGCCCTGAGCTCCATCTTAAAAATCTCTGAAACAAAACCAAAGTTTTTCCATGCATCCTTGTAAGACATTAGAATAAGGCATAGAACGTGCTCTCTTTGAGAACTCTAATTTTAGCAGTCATTATAAAATAAGGAATTGAAGTATTATTCTGAGAACCTCCTAGGAGCACCTGTAGGGTACACGCTATGAGAGCTGTCAATCAATTTATGCCTCAACATTTTAGACCTCCTGCCAGTGTTTGTTTTCAAAGAAGGATAACATCAAGCATTTGTGGAGTGACTCACTCTGTCCCAACACTTGTTCTGAGAGTTTGGGATCACAGTCATGTGTAGCTGGTTTTCAGAAGGTATAGAACTAGGCTGACCCATTCAGGGGGTAGGGGAGCGGAAGTACGGTGAGCTCTGACCAGTTCCTCAAGCAGAAGATGACACATTGCTATTGCCGGAAGATAAAGTGTCTCTGGCATCCCACTCGCCGAGCAGCAGGGAACACAATTACCTCCAGTATGTGGAGGCCAGGAGACCACTTCTGATCTGGCTACAACCCCAGGCAGGAGCAGATGTTACGTTACAATGAGTCAGCCAGATTTAAAAATGTATCTTCCTAAAGTGGATTTTTTTTTTTTAATCAACTCAAACTTTAAATAAATCTCTGCAAGAGCTTGAGAGGGCTCACTCAGATCTGGCAAAACAGTACATAAGCTAGAGTCTTGCAGACTTATTATTTTCACTCTTGGGTGGGCTCATGGGTAACACTCGGATCTATTCCAATGCTCAAACAACAGCCTTGGTTGGTTTGGGGAATGAAATGAGCCCAAAGCATGTCCAAGATCTTAGCAATTTTCAAGCATAAACCTTCTGGCCCTGGTGGTCTCAGAACAGACAGCATGGAAGGCAGTACTGTCACGCCCAAGAGAAAGGCTATGGAAACGAACCCAACTGTCACAGTGAGCTTCAGCTGTCACCTAGAGTCACCTAGGAAGGGGGAACTTTAACTGCTGTGTTGTCCAAATGAAAATGACCTATGGCTACATCTGTGAGGCGTTTTCTTCATTGTTAATTGACGCAGGAAGACTGAGCCCACAATCCCTAGGCTGTGTGAGAGCCGTAGCCGTACGTGCTGCAGGGGAATCAAGCCAGAGACCAGCATCCAAAGAGCAAAGTTCCTCCATGCCTCTGGGTCCCTGCCCTGGCTTCCCCTGATGATAACGGTACAAGCCTAAGGTGACCTTTCCCTCACCCAAGGCCATTTTTTTTTAAGCATTTTATCACAGCACCAAAAAGCAAACTAGAACACCAACCAAAAACATCTAGTGGATTTTGTTGTGTGGCATTGTAAAGATAGAGTATTTGTGCTTCTGAAGCTAACCAGGAAGCAAGGAGACAGAAAAGGAAATGGGGTACACCTAGAGTCATGCCAATGTAGTGGCTGCTTGGGAAGCAGACGGACTTACTCAGAAAATCAACGAGGAGAGAGGAGCATCACCATGCCCAAAGTGGCTATGAACATTAGGGCAGATGAAAAAAAAAAATTCTGGGTTGGGCTGGCAGCTTAAATAACTATCTGGCAGTTTGAGTTTTAGGAGTCACATTCTTTTTCTTTCTAAAAGTTAGCTGTAGATATGACCTCAGTCAAGGACATGGCCATCTCTACATTTTGAAATGCTTTCTTTGGTAAACAAAGTGTGAATGTAATAGGACCTTCTTTAAACACTATGAAGACTGCTATAAAAGCGAGGGAGAAAAAAAATCAACAGAACTCACAGAGTCAGGTCAGAGGCAGAGCGGCTGCTACATTCTTATTGCAACAGATGGAGTTTCAACTTTAAAAGCCATCTGTTCCATTGATTATTGCTGTTATAGATACCCTCTGCTTAAGGAGGTAAGTATAATATCAATCATATTC